TCAGAAGGAAGATGAGGATGTGTCGGCATGGGATGTCAGCCTTGAGAACCTTATGTATCAGATATCAGAGCAGCCACTTAACCTTGGACGAACAGGATGAGATGCTTCGAGCAAAATGTGGGATGGGCTCAAACCTGGATTGAAAAGCTTGGCTGCGCACAAATATGAGGTCATTTCTAATTTCGATGAACTACGCCTTTGTTCAAGCGAGAAGTGGAATTTGACCTTAACAGAAACAAGCCCACGGCAGAGAAAAAAGTCAGCTACAGCTAAAATGGCTTTCACTTCCAGATAGTGCTGAGGCAGCTTCAAAGCAAGAAGTTCTTGACTTGAAGGAAATGGTGAAGGAAATAAGAGCAGAGATTGCAGAGCTCAGGTGCCAACATCAGGGTCAAGTTTACCAGCACCAGGTTTCAACTCCGCCATCCCAAGTACACCCCAGTTTCTCAAACCCCCAGAGTCAATCATCCCCACAGACCTGAGAGAAAAGTATCAAGTGGAGGCAAAGGAAAATCTCCAGCATACACTGGTTCACAATCCAAGCCATTTCTTTCTACACATCCAGGTTTTGATGTCACCAATGAACAGCCATATGGAACTGACCTACAAGCATCAGGGATGCATCCTTATTCAACACAAGGAACAACTGGATATGTCTCTCCACCAGAGAGAGGGACACTGTGGAACAACACTAATGAAGAGTTGCCTAGATGTTTTAGGTGTGGTTACCCAGGTCATATTGCTCGGGGATGCAGAGTGAGACTTGATCACCTACGTCATCCTTTAAACTGGCCCAGGCCTATGGGAAGGGGCTGCCCTTAGGTTGTTCATCACGCCCTACAGTACCAGATGGATTAGTTGGAAACAGTAATGAAGTTGAGATTGTAATTGAAGGAGTGCCCGTACAAGCATTAGTGGACACAGGAGCTACTGTGTCAATTGTCTCTGAGACCTTTTACAAATCTCATTTGCAGCACATTGCGCTTGAACCCATTGGAGATATTTTGGACATCGAATGTGCTGGTGGTCAGTCACTTCCATATCAGGGATATATACAAGTTAATATTATCCTTACAGGTGGAGGTATCAGCCCTCAAAATCCTGTCTCCAGTCTACTCTTGGTTGTTCCTGAAACAAGGTATAATGCACGTGTCCCTGCCTTGCTGGGTACCAATGTTTTGCAATGTCTTTTGGATGAATGTAGGCAACTCCATGGACCAAAATTCCTACAGAGGGCAGATTTACATACACCTTGGTACTTGGCCTACAGAAGCATTGCACTCAGAGAGAAAGAGTTAGTACGCAATGGATGGCGTCTTGGTTTAGTCAGGAGCACTGAGACTCAGAATATGATCATTCCTCCAAATAGTAATGTTATCATAAAGGGTCGGATCACGAAGGGATTGACATCGCCAGGAATTTGTGCACTTCTTCAGCCTACCCACAGGTCATCACTACCGGCAGATATTGATGTTGCTCCAACACTCATCACTTACAATAGTTCAAGGCCAGAGATTGTAAATGTACACATCTCAAATGTGACCACGCAGACCTTATGTATACCTCCAAAGGCTCTTCTCTGTGAACTTCAACCAGTAACCATACATGATTCACCCAAATGCCTACCTGTTGAAGCAGATGTGTTATTGGATCAGATAGATATTGATAAGGAAGGATTATCAGAGGAGGAGATTAAACATGGACTGGATATGATCATGAGATTTCAGGATATATTTTCAAAGAATGAGGAGGATATTGGACAATCTTCAATGGTTCATCATCGAATAGAACTCACGGATAATAGACCATTCAAACAGCGGCATCGGCGCATACCTCCTGCTATGTATGAGGAAGTTCGCAGTCACCTACAACAGCTCTTATCTGCTGGGTTATTAGGAAATCGCACAGCCCTTGGGCTTCCAACATTGTACTGGTTCGCAAACGGGACGGTCGACTAAGGATGTGTGTTGATTATCGCCAGCTGAATAAGCGTACCATCAAGGACTCATACGCTTTGCGAGGATTGAAGAGCTATTGGATTGTCTTGGTGGTATGAAGTACTTTTCAGTACTAGATATGAAGAGCGGGTACCACCAAGTTGAAATCGAGGAAGACCACAAGTCTCGTTACAGCATTTACCATTGGACCGCTTCGGGTTCTTTGAATACAACAGAATGCCATTTGGATTATCAAACGCGCTACCGGCTACCTATCAGCGACTCATGGAAGAATGCCTGGGGTCTCCATCTCAAAATATGCCTCATCTACCTCGATGACCTTATCATATTTTCCAGGACCTATGAGGAACACCTTGAGAGGCTACAACTTGTTTTTCGTCGTCTCAAAGAATGTGGCTTAAAGCTTGCCCCAAAGAAATGTAAATTTTTAAGCGAAAGGTTCGATATGTAGGGTATATCGTATCTGAAGCTGGGATTGAAGCTGATCCGGACAAGATTGACAAGATAAGACATTGGCCAACACCTTCTAATCCAGAGGAAGTCAGAAGATTTCTTGGATTTGGAGGTTACTATCGCAAATTCATCAAGGACTTTTCAAAGATTTCAAGGCCTCTCTCTGAGCTTATGCCCAAATCTGCTTCGAAGAAATCTAGACAACCATCCAAGGATCAAGACTGGATCTGGGGCCCAAAACAGGAAGAAGCATTCAGTGAGTTAAAGCACCGCCTGTGTTCCCCTCCTGTACTAGGCTATGCAGACTATTCACAACCCTTTGAACTCCATACTGATGCAAGTACACATGGGTTGGGTGCAGTGTTGTATCAGCTCCAGAATGGCAATCTGCGTGTCATTGCCTATGCAAGTAGAGCATTAGGACGTTCTGAGAGGAACTATTCAGCACATAAACTTGAGTTTTTGTGTTTGAAATGGTCCATCTCAGAAAAGTTCCATGACTATTTGTATGGGCATGATTTTGTTGTGTTCACTGATAACAACCCTTTAACCTATGTACTTACCAGTGCTCGACTCGATGCAACTGGGCATAGGTGGTTGGCTGCACTAGCAAACTACAACTTCAGTATCAAGTACCGTCCAGGAAAGGCTAATATTGATGCGGACGCATTATCTCGCTACCAGATCATCAGGATTATGTTGAAGATGAGCAAATATCTCAGGAATCTGTGAGAGCCATTTGTGATACCATCCATGTCTCAAGTTTGGTTGAAAGTCTGTGCTTCTCTATGAATACAATTGAAGAGGATACGGAGCTTGAGGATGATCAGTGCGAGCTGAATGCAAGGGAATGGAGGAGAGCTCAAGCCAAAGATTCATCTCTTCGGATAATCCTAGAACACTTGAGAAATGGCACATCTCCAAATAGGATGCAGTACATCAATGATCCTGAAGTGAAATCATTATTGAAATGCGTTATCCAATTCCAAATGAAGAGGGGAGTTCTCTATAGAATTACCACTGTAGATGGAGAAGACCGAGAACAGTTGGTTCTACCGATGAAATGTCGCACTGCAGCACTCGCAGTTTACATGACAACGTTGGACATCCAGGTAGAGATAGAACTTTAGCACTTTTGAGGGATAGATTCTACTGGCCTGCGATGTCAAATGATGTTGAAGCACACTTGCAAAATTGTGAACGCTGTCTTGAAGGAAAACACCAACAAGCCGAGCTCCAATGGTAAACATCCAGACATCAGCACCTTTGGAACTTGTATGTATGGATTTCTTGACGTTGGAACCATCAAAAGGTGGATTGGAGCATGTTCTAGTTGTAACTGATCACTTTACCAGATATGCCCAAGCATATCCAGCAAGAAACATGTCAGCCAAAACAACTGCTGAAACTTTCTTCACAAATTTTGTCATTCACTATGGACTACCAAGGAGGATACATTCAGATCAAGGAGCTAATTTCACTGGTAAAGTGATGCAGGAACTGTGCCAACTGTTGAAAATTGAGAAGTCCCAAACCACGCCATTACCATCCCATGGGCAATGGTATGTCGCGAAGCCTTCAATCGAACACTCTGTAACATGCTAGGCACTCTGGATCCCGACCAGAAAAGGAATTGGAAAGCCCATATAGGTCCCTTGGTACATGCCTACAATTGTGTAAGACATGAGACAACATCAGCATCTCCATTCTTTTTGATGTTCGGAAGACTCCCCTAGATTACCTGTCGATTTGGCTTTTGGATTGGACATAGAGCCAGGAAAATCCAGATCTATTTCTGAATACACCAAGTCCCTCAGGGAACGTTTGAAGCAAGCATATGAATTGGCATCTGCATCAGCAAAGAAGGCTCAGTCCAAACAGAAATCAAATTACGATCAAAGAGCTCGCGTGCTGCAACACTCGAGGTCGGAGATAGAGTCCTTGTAAAATTGTAGCCTTTGCGGGACGACACAAGCTGGCTAACAAATGGGAAGATGACGTGTATATTGTTGTGAATCAACCTAATCCATCTATTCCTGTTTTCACAGTTGTGCAAGAAAATTGCGAGGAAGGAAGAAGACACTTCATCGAAATCTTCTGTTGCCTGTTGGCTACATTCCTAACTTGGAACCACCTGTTCCAACACCAAGACGAGTAACCCCAACGCCCAGACAAGTGATCCCAACACCCCGGAAAAGATCATCAACATCCCTGAAAGCCACATCAGAGATATCGCACAAGGATGATGAAAGTTCTTCAGATGGACAAGACTCGGACATTTACTCCTATTCATATCATGCTCCAGTGTTCACTGATTCATCAGTGGATGGGCCAGCTGAAGTACAGACAGCGAGGGTAGGAAATGATGAAGCTATTGCTGTCCATGATGAGAGGGAGGAAGTAACGTCTGAAGATACTGGTCAGCCGGATCAGACATCAGCTGCAGGTGGCGATTTCAGAAATGAAGTATCTGATGAAGAGAATAATCAGCCAGCAGAAAGGGAAATGCCAACTCCAGTTCCACGACGCTCAGGCCGAACCCGAGTTCAACCGAGATGGATGCGGGAGTGGGGAGTATGTTCTCTCTCTGCGGTAGCTACACCAGACTGGTTGGTGAGAGCGGATTATCTCAATTCTCTTGCCTCTGGGGCAATGTTTGCTCACCAGCCAGAGAAGCTAACTGAGGCTATTCTGGGTGTTGTCACTGGTAAATTATAATGATGGGGACATCATTTGTTGGGGAGGGGAAGTGTGTGGCAGGTATGAAGTCATGTAAGGTTTGGTTCGTTTGAAGTTGTCATTGTTTATAGTTTTAACGCAAGCAGTATCATTTTTAAGCGTTAGTCTATGGTTATTTTTAGATCTTGCCTAGTCCATTACGGGTATAAGGGGTGTCAAGAGATTGTGTCATCGCTTGTGTTGTGCCCTTTGACTTGCTTGGCCCCTTGTGTTGATTGGTTCTTTTAAAACACTAAACATTACTTGCACGTCAGCCATTGCACTTCACTTCAATCCGATCGCAGTTCAGAGCATAAAACAACTAACACGTCCGATCTAAAGGTAGGAACAATATTTCAAGTATTTTATATATGTTGTAGTAAATAACAATGTTATTAGTGCTAATTAAATGTTCTTCATGATAATAAAATAGGTTAGAGTATATTTGTGCAATTGTAAATATTATGCCAAGGTAAGTAGACAATCTTGCAGTGATATAGTAAATAACGATCATGCTTAAAACTATGATACTTTGTTTATTTGAATGATGTTTATGCATAGGTTATTTATTGTGCATTATAACCATAGCGCACTTGGTTTGCATTGTACTTACGATGCAGAATGATTGAATGTGTGATTGATTTTGGGTATGACCTAATGTGGCTTACACATAGTTACGTCAGTACCGAACCATAGCTATTGATTGTTGTGATTTGTATACATACATATTTAGAATATTGAGACTTTGGTTTGCTTGTTCTTGTAGCAGCAGTATATTCCTCTTGGAGGCGTGGCTCTTCTACACCCCAGTGTCACGCACAGGGTATGAACGTTATCATTGTGTCATATGTATAAAGTTATTATGTTATTCACATAGTTGATGGATTTTATGTATTATGTACAAACACGTTCACCATAATGTGTACGTTGGTACGACGTATTTGAAACGTTATTCTAATACCAAGGAGTTACCGTTCTTGGTGGTTCAGTCAACGTGTTAATGGCTATGTACCTATTACCACAACAACATTATATAATGTGCACCTGTTGACATTAATTGATATTACACTCATTTCTAATGTTAGAAATGATATAAGAGATTCAATGATTGTATATATTTATCTATATTTACATGTTTGCCCTTAACTTGGCACTTATTTTGTAAACATGTGTTTCAGGGTGTCTGTCAATAAAGAATAGATCTCACAACCCGTAATCAGTGTCTGGTCCTCAGTATTCCCATTCACGTCCCGGTTACAATATGATACAAATGCAGCTGTTTTTATGTTTTTATTTTTCTACATATTATCTATCAGCCTCAAGCAAATTGGTTTTGCTATGCTGCAGCCTCACGATCCCCATTTTATGAGACTTTGTATATTGGCTTGGTACTCCGTAAAAAACGTAAAATCTGCAATAAAATGCATCACTAACTTCAGGAAACAAAATATGCTATGTTTGAGATTGGTAGAAGTCGGCTAGAATCAAACTTAGATATTAAACTGCACAAAAAAGCAATTTCAAAACTACAATCGCTTGTTCAAAGGACTTCCCATTCTGTTTACTGAAAGAACTCGAGAAAGAAATGAAGGATTTTGTTCAAATTGGTACCAAGGTTTACTGACTGTAGATTGGAGATTTACCGACATCACTTGAATTCAGTGACCTTGAGGTCATTTTAAAGGTCACAGCGAAGGTGTAACAGTTTTGCACATGCCAAGCTTGGTAGCCGCGAACACAGGAAAGTATTAATAGATTTTGATCCAATTATATATCAAGGTGTATTGGCGGGATTCCCTCAACACCAATTGATTGGGAAACTTTTGCTCATTTTAAGTTCACAGTGAAAAGCGAGAATACAAGACAGAATTAATATGTTTTGCTTAAAGGTAGTACCAAGATGCGTTGGGAGTATCGTCTAACGCCAGTCGAATTCAGTGACCTTCGGATTATTTTCAAGGTCACAGCGAGTATTCTTGCGATACCTCCAAACCTAATGGATGGAATTTGTTCGCATTTTGTATCAAGGCATCAGATGACAGTTTCGGTAACGTTTACATAATTTTCAGCATCAGAAAGAGGATAATTGCGACATTCAGACATTCGACATGTGGCGGGGGTAATAGCTATGTTTGTGACAAACGCTTTGTCATTACTAATTTTCACATTTTTGTTAGCATATGGTTTCTATAAGTTCATGTTAATTCTACCAGCCGTGAAATTATTCGTGACACGTCTTAAAAAAGCCAGAGATTATTTGTGTATGTTTCGAAAGTTAAAGTTAATTGTTTTTCATTATGGAGTTATTTTCGATGTTGACGCAAGGACATATTTTACGAGCAATAGCTTTCAATAATTTAATGTTATTTCTGTTACATTTTGAAGTTCTTTATAGCATATCCCAAAATGGCAGGATATTGTTTGTTTACGCGTTGAAATGTACGTTTCTTCTTCTTCATTTTCGAATTATTTTCAATGTTGACGCAAGGATATATTTAAAGTCAATTTTATGTTTTGATCATATATGATTTATTATGATTTATGTTTCGATCATACATTCATATATTGCGTTGTCATCGTTTAACCTGGTTCGTATTATTTTCTTCTTCATATTACTACATATTATTGTATTTTTATGAGAGGAAATTTTAAGTTACATTTGCAAAGGATATCATAAATTCCTGGCGCCTGGTTATCCCTTGCCACATAGCAGTCAATCTGTCTACTCATTTGTTGTATTTGATTAATGCATTTAAAATATAATGTAGAAATGATATTGAATGGCATCATTTGCTTCAAGGAATCGATCAGATGTGCTCGTTATCAAAGTAAAGTCAAAACTTCTTTCTGTAAGGTATACAGTGGAAGTATAACCTTAATTGTTATGGGTAGACCAAAGAAATCATTTATTTAGTTTCACCGCTCAAAATACAACAAAAAATTCAACGGGTGGCATTAACCTCAAAGAATGATAATAACAATGCTTATAACATACGAGGGCAAACATATCGGGGATAATTTGTTTCCATGCGATATGCACCGGGTAAAATATCACTTTCTCATGGTGACATGACATCATGAACAATGTTATGACGTCACGTTGCTTTTAAATACAACGATGACGGGGAGCCTGCCTTTGTTGGAAAGTAGATTATCGCGTAATTTCCGCAATTAAAGACTTCGGTAATAAATAGAAAATCAAACTCGTGACCATAATATGCTAGGTTAACGACCTAAATATCGGCATATCCCTTCTCTGGTTCCGAAAATACCAAGATTTAGACAGTTGTGTTGTAAACTGATATTTATCTTCTATAAAGTCGGCTATATTTAAACCATGAGAAATGTCTTCAAATAATGTCTGATGACTGTTACCAACGTCCCAATAGTGTCCATATATTTTAGAAATCTATAACAATATTTAAAGCACAACCTCACTCTTTTTTTGATACATGACAAAGGATTAATCAAGTATAAAACATACACAGGGAAATAGTCCCTGACATCACAATCAGCCATCAGTTCCATGAGTTCAGTTAACAATGGACACTTGGATGAAGTAGTCGATATTATGGAAGGCAGCTGTGACAAAACTAGCAGCAATTGACTTTGATAAGAGTTATAGATTTAATTTGAGATAAAGTTTACTGAACCACAGACACCCCTGTTGCCACAATTACCATGTTGTGATAGATTCTGGCTTTGTGTGCTGACAATTTGGTTCCTCAGCCTGACAGTGTGGGTTCGAATTCCGGATAGGACACAATCTAACAAGCACTAAATATTGTACCTTGCATTGGTGTAGAGACAATGCCATGTACCTCACATTGGTGTAGAGACAATGCCATGTCTGGATACTGAGTACATACACCAGTGAATACTTTGACACAATGTTCTGCTCTTCCTTTGCAGTCGCATGCGATAACTACAGATTAGCAAACAGCCAGGAGAACGTGGACGTCATTGCCGCTGACATAGGGGACATCTGCAACTCCAGCTACTTTACTGTCGACAGCAACAACTCTTCCTGTTGGAGAGGAGCATCGTGGAAAACGGTGAAAATAAAGTGCGTTCCTTGTTACAATGGCACCACCCAGCAGTCAATGGTAAGATATGCCATCCTCATACATAAATACTATGTTCAGTGAAGTAAAAATATGTGACCTCTGTCAACGGAGCCAAAACATGGACGAAGTTAAAAACATTAAACATTATATTTAATGCTCATAACCTGATTAAAAGTTATTATGAAAGTGACAAAAAGCCTCACCAAGACAAAAGAAAAAGTTGTGTGGGAACTGTGAAATTGTCTAACTTTGGTTAATCGGTCCTTACATGTAAATATGAGCTACAGAAAGCAGACGATAGCTCACAGGTCTACCTCCCTCGGGAAGAATTAGTGATAAATGATATGTTTTGTATATTAGTGATAAATGATATGTTTGTATATTAATGATAAATGATATGTTTTATACATTAGTGGTATATAATATGTTTTGTATATTAGTGGTATGGAATATGTTTTGTATATTAGTGATAAATGATATGTTTTGTATATTAGTGATAAATGATATGTTTTATATATTAGTGATAAATGATATGTTTTGTATATTAGTGGTAAATGATATGTGTTGTCTATTAGTGATAAATGATATGTTTTGTATATTAGTGATAAATGATATGTTTTGTATATTAGTGATAAATGATATGTTTTGTATATTAGTGATAAATGATATGTTTTGTATATTAGTGATAAATGATATGTTTGTATATTAATGATAAATGATATGTTTTATATATTAGTGATAAATGATATGTTTTGTATATTAGTGGTAAATGATATGTGTTGTCTATTAGTGATAAATGATATGTTTTATACATTAGTGATAAATGATATGTTTTGTATATTAGTGATAAATGATATGTTTTGTATATTAGTGATAAATGATATGTGTTGTATATTAGTGATAAATGATATGTTTTATACATTAGTGATAAATGATATGTTTTGTATATTAGTGATAAATGATATGTTTTATACATTAGTGATAAATGATATGTTTTGTATATTAGTGATAAATGATATGTTTTGTATATTAGTGATAAATGATATGTTTTGTATATTAGTGATAAATGATATGTTTTGTATATTAGTGATAAATGATATGTTTTGTATATTAGTGATAAATGATATGTCTTGTATATTAGTGATAAATGATATCTTTTGTATATTAGTGGTATGTAATATGTTTTCTATATGCATGATATACGGTATGTTTTGTACGTTGCTGATATATGATCTTATATTTTTTGTCATACTTGTCATGGCAACTCCTGAACACTTAACGGAGGTTATACCTACAGTATTGTTAGTAAGATACTGATTGGATGTATGTCTTAAGAAATAACCACTGGATTTTGTTATTGCTATGGACGTTTATTAATTTCTCTCATGCTTGTCTTCCCTGACGTGTTTTGAGATCATCACCTTTTACACTTAAACACAGTTTGACATGTTCAACTGACGGTTGTGAGAAAAAGCTTGGTCCCTGCTTTTGTAATGTTTAGTCATATATTCGGTTGTGTCAAGCCTTGGATATTTCGAACAAGTGTCTCTCACTTCATCTTCGACATATCCGTGTTTCACTCTACCAGGATCGGTTCAGCCAGAATTCTGTTTCAGACAAAGCATTAGGATGTTTCGAGTAAGCCCCTTAATCTCTTGAATATTTGTGTTTCGAGCAAGCCCCTTAATCTCTTGAATATTAACCATAACATGTGTAAATAAAAATATATTCACAACAGTCACTAAAAAATACATCCGGATAATAGTGAGAGATATTTGTGACTTGTTAGAATGAATTGTGCAGGTATTGTACAACATGTATTCAATATTTCAAGACATGTCAACAGTGTATATCCCGCGTACATTTTCATAAGAACCCAATAATTACAGTACAATTTTAATCACCGTATACTTACAGTGGCGGTGTAGACTGTAATAGCAGTGGTAATGACAATAACGCCAGGTTAAGAAGTGAACGTTACTGTGAAAGGCTATATGCTGAATTAGTATGCCTGTTTGTGAAGCTTCCATATTAGCATTGGCAATATAAAAACCATGTCCTGCATCTTAACAGAAACGACGCAAGACAATGAGTACATTTTTTACAAGAGACACAGAAATTAACACTGCTGTTGTTTACGGTTACAAGG